CTTATTCTAGGTGATTGTACAGTCTAGAGCAAACAATTCTGATCAACACTCCGCAGTACACGAAGTCTGCAGAACTGAGGCTGTTAGTGGTGCCAGCTGTATGTTACCTCAAAGCTCTCAAATCTGAAGCTAAGCTGGCAGTGAGAAGCATCATTATTGATGTACATGAGGGGCTGTGAAGAGCAGTCATTCAGAGCTCCTTTTGTGTCTGTATTGTATGTCAGTTTAGGTAAAAGTACTCTAACTTAACATGCTTTACCTCCTGCTACTGAAATCCACTATGTCCTTGAACACTGAGGTAACCTCATGGAGCAGTATGTATTTTTACCATAAACAACCTGAAAAATGTTCTCTAAGTGCCAATCAGATCAGAAATTTTAAGTTAGAGAATTTTTTCCAAAATTTCTGAATTACATCTTCAGAAAGGTACAGACATGTCTTCCCTCTAGCAGAGGGAGAAATGTTCAGAACTGAATACAGTCTTGTGATTTAAGAGGTTTGTCAGCTCTTTGCTTGGAGTGAGCCACACAGGTGTTTTGGACATTATTTATTTTGTATACTTGTTTCTCACTTCTAGGAAACTAAGTATTACAAATAAAAATGTATAAAAAATACTGAATGAAAGGAAATTTGTATGCTGGGGAGTCTGGAGCTTGAATTCAGACATGTGGATGCCTTTCTCAACATCTGCTGTATTTGCAAAGGTTTAATTTAAAAATCTGGTTTGTTACTGTTAGCTAACAGTAAGTTCACAGACCCTGTGTCCGAGTAGCCATACAGTATTTTTTTTGAAAGAGGGTTTCTTTTATCAGAGTCTAAGATCATTGGAGTGCAGACTTCAAAGGCACAGCAAACACCACGCACACTTGACAGAAATGTTTATTTAATTTGTTTAAGCAGAGGGTTAGAATATAACCTCTCTGAGAACCTACACTTGTAACTCCACTATGTTCCTTTAGCATGCTGCTTGTCCAGACCAAGTGAGTGTTCAGCATAACTGAAAACTCCAAAATTGAAAACTCCAAATCCACTTCAGTACTTCTGAGGCTGCCTCATAGTAAATACCAGATAAATTTTCATCTTAAGGGTTTTTTGTTTTGTTGTATTTAAGTTTATCTTATTATAAATAACAGTCAATATTGCACTCTTTCGTATAATTTTAACTTGGCAGATAGACAAAAGAATGCCAGGCAGCTGCAGTTTCTCCTGTATGTGCATGAAGATAGTCTATAATCTAATCCAACAAATTTCCTCCCAAATTTGCCCTAAAACAGGATATGATGACAGGAGCTTGCTCCAATGCATACTGCTGAACAAAAAGAATCTCTGAGTGCAAGGTGCAGAGTGCCTGGATAAAACAAAGTGTACTTCAACAAAACAGTTTGACTCTAGGATAATTCTGGGCCTTTTCCACATTTGTTACTAAATTCTATAAAGTGTTTCTCTAAGAGATTCATTGCATTGTTGTTTCTGTTTACAAAACGAATTTTTAATTGAAACCAAGGTTTAAACACTTAATGCGAGACAAATTCAAGCATTCTTACGACTTTGTGTTTTAAATAGTAAGTGCATCCACCTCTGTAAAGCATTCAGACTTCTGGAATTTCACAGGTTTAAGTCCTAGCCAGCAGTTTACCCGCATCTGAGTGATTCTATAGCCAAACTGTAGAAATTATTTGAAGTGGCTTGTCTATTGATGACAATGTATTAACACATAAAAAAATTAATAAATCTCATTAGTTTCTGTAAGACTTGGTTCAGGCTTCCTTTGCTTCCAACTTAATAGTCTAAAACACAGGAAGAAGCTTTTACTTTGCCTTGGTCCACCACATGCTGATTCTCTCCAATAGCAGGACATCCTGTAATGTATTTTAAGTCTCCACGACAGCAGTGAGCAAAATAACGTTTAAAATATTCATTCAAAACTTTTAACAGAAGATTTGCACACTGTTGCTCTCTAAAGTTGAGAGCAAACTCTGTGAAGAAAGCAGTACCTCAACATGGTTAAGTAACTTCAACCTACTGCTGTTCTATTTTACATGATTAAGCTACAGCAGAACAGATAGATCCTCAGCTCAACAAGGTTACTAACTCACTTTTTCTTACTGCCAACTTCATGCCTATCTTTCTTTTCTTCAGCATTTTCTCCGTTGTGTTGTGACTGGTTGGTGTCCTGGGCTTCAGATCCTCCATTCAGAATCTTTGAACCTTTAAAATGAAAGAGCAGAAAAATGGTACTTGCAGGGAATAAAACTGTATTATAATAGCACCCAATAATTTCTTTACCTTAACCAAATAAAACATTATAAATATTTTCCCTTCATCTTGATATCCAGGCAACCGAAACAATTCAAAAGACACGAACTGATACAGCTTCAACTTCTGAACATTTCACGCAATGTGCCTCATCCTATGGTTTTAGCAATGGGAATTGAACAGTTTGCATTTTTCATGCACTTTCAAGTTCTTCCTGTGCTTGCTAGGGTCCAGATCATAGGCTAAATGCTTGTTTGTATTCTGAGTAGTGAGAGAATATACTTCAGTAGTAAGTTCTTTTACCACTCTAACCTGGTCAGATAATTTTTGGGGATTCTTGTTACTTTAACTGTAGAGTTAATAGTTCCATCACATCTCATTTACTCTTGATTCCAACAAATGACGTATAATCAAAATACAAGTTATATAAATATAGTGCTTTATGATAGCATGGATTTTTCAAGCAGGAGAACAGCACTAGCTAGAAGGCATATTTAATGAAGTCAGTGCAGAAATATTTAACATCTTACACAACTTCTATGACGACAACGTGTTTTGCTGTGGTATTATGAGCCAGTGAATTTTGTGTGAATTGTTAAGGAACATCACTCTGAACTGATAGTACGTTTTACTGAAGTTTTAGATTTATAAAAGAACTCCTCTATTAAACTATTGAGCTACAGTAAGAAAAAAATACAAGTTGTTATTCATCTGATTTTTCAGCTTATCTGTTTATACTTGCTCATAATCAGTTCTGAACTCAAAGGCCACAGGAGGAATTTGATAAAATTTCCCTTGTTACAAAGCAGATAATCTGATGGTTTACATGAAGTACCATCCGTTACAGCATCATTCTGTACTGAATATCATTGTGAAGTCAGGATTCAGCAATTCATTTTTTAAAAGGGCAAAGGAATGCATGTAATAATCAGATTTTCTTTTTGCAGAAAATAAAAAACTACTTCCATAAAATATCCCTCTGTTCTGATAGAACAACTTCCCCTTCTCTATGTGACTAGGCAACAATACGGTATTTCACTGTGTTTGCTGAAGTTTTGTTAACCTCAGCTGGAGTGGCCTCACTAGCCAGACCATGCCCAGGAAACCTCTCAGTGTAGCTTCCTTGTTAAAGTATCAGTTCTGCTGATCACTGGTTTGGGGAAAGATCTGTATGGAACCTCTACTTCATCATACAGTCTCTCATCAGAAACTGGTTGGATTTTAGAATCACCCTTGCTTTTTCAGCAATTACAAGTAAAGTGACATTCCTACTATAGTTAGTTGTGTTGAATCCTTGGCACCTCAGTTAAAATAGTTTGTTTAGTTACACCATCCACTTGATCTTGGTGGTGTGGCTTTTAAACGGTTTTCTAAAAAAAAAAAAAAAAATCCAGTTCTGCTCCCAGAATTCAATTTCAAAGTAAATGTAGTTTCTGTGAGGTGCTCGTGGAGATCAAGGATCTAAATAATTTGAATAAATGGGTAGAACTCCTACATTGCAACATACTTTTCCAGTGTGTCTGTCTCAGTTTGTTCGTCTATTTAAAAATGTATCTATTTTAATACTGATTTGAAGTTATTATTGAGCACACTTTTGATATTTGATATTTTAATATTTGCTTTTGATATTCTTCTGTACAGGTGCTAATGATTGATGTGGAACTGTACTGTTAAGAGCATAAATACATTCTTCTGCCATAAATGATTATTTCTTTACTGTTAGGCTGAACTACTAGTTGCAGCAGGGAAGTAACACAGAAGTGGTTGAAAGTTGCTGCTACACATGGTAGAGCTTGCATGATATAGAAAGAGGCTAAGGAAGGTAACTAAGCAGTTTCAAGTTCTCACTCAGTGGCACAAGCTTTGGTACCAAAAAGCTACTGGAGGAATTGTGTTGGTTGTGGCTGGGATAGAGTTAATTTTCTTCATGGTGGCAAGTATGTGTTAGAACATAGAAACCTGGGAGTTTCGAGCTTTCTGTGCTTTTTGACACTGACCCTCGGGAGAACACTGCTTTTGACTTGAGGCCTTGGAGAAGGTTTCCAAATTTGGGTGACGGAGTTAAAGAGTCATGGGTGTGTAGTCGGAATAGAAGTGTGTGATTTGACATGGTGAAGGGTTTTGAACTTGAAGCTCTTAGAATATAGTAATAGATATGGGACAAGATGGAGGATTTTGGGTGTTGTCTCTTTTCTGTCCTCTTCCTTCTTCATGATTTCAGGTAGTAGTTTCTGGTTGGATAGCTAGTGTTGCACTGTGGGTAACAGGAGTTTGGTTACTGGGTCAAAAGTATAAATAATAAAGGTGTTAATTCCCTATTAGACTGCTGAGCTTTAAAAGACCTTGTAACTAGCTAGATTCGCCTGCATTTTGCTTGCTTTTAGCTGGTAGCTAGCAGTGTTGCAGAACTCTCTGTACTTTAGACAAGATTTAATAATATCAAGTCTGAACGTGAGAAAATTCGTCTCCTTCATGTTTTTAATCCTGACTGAGTGAAGACAGAAGAAAATAAAGACAAGCCACTAATTAAGTGGTGCAGTTACCACCTTTCCAAATATGGGGCTGTGTTGTGGATTTGTGCTGAACACAAAGTTGCTAATACAGAGATGTTTTTCTTATTTCTGAGCAAGGCTTATACACAGCCAATACCTTTCCATGTTCCCACACGGGGGAAGAAGTGCATGAGAGGTGACACAGCCAGCACAGGTGACCCAAGCTGACCAAAGGGGACATTCCACACCATATGGCATCATGCTCAGTATGTGAAGTAGGGGGAAAGGACGGGGGAGTATATTTGAGTGATGGCGTTTGTTTTATGTGTGAGGGGGCCCTGCTGTCCTGGGGATGGCTGAACACCTGCCCACCCATGGGAAGTACTGAATTAATTCCTTGGTTTGCTTTTATCTGGACTGCTTTTGCTTTTCCCATTACACTCTCTTTATCTCAAACCGTAAGTTTTCTTCCTTTTACGGTTCTGATTCTCTCCCTGATCCTACTGGTGGAGGAGTGAGCAAGTGGCTCTGAGGGGCTTGGCTGCTGGGTGGGGTTAAAGTGAAACAAAAGCAGTAGATCATTCTACCTCACATTTAATGGTTTGGGTTTCTTAAAAATTCTATAACATTATCAAGTTAGATAATTTAGGGATGTTAACTTTGCAAGACTTAATTTTTGCAAAAGCCATTTCCTTTAGCCAATTGAGATAAAATGACCATGGTAAATTTACACTGAATTTAAAAGTTATTTGTAGCAGTATTGTCCTTGACAACTTCAGATATGAAAAGGTCTTCATAGACTGGTGAAACTTCTACATCAAGGATATTTTGAAGGTGGCTCAGAAATTAATGGAGACTAAGTCTTTTATGTGACAAGAAAGTAAAACCACAGTGACTTACCTGTTTGGTCTTTTTCCTTTTCAGTTTTTTTGTTTGATCCTTTCTTCCCCTGTTCTTTGGTTTTATTAGCTTCTTCATGCTGCTTTTGCTCAGCAAGTGATTTATTTAGTACTTGGGAAAGAACAGAATCTCCTTCCCCAACAAGAAACATGGTCTTGAACTTGTTATATAGCATTGTAGATTTCTCCATGATAACTTGGCTGATTTTAAACTTCCGGATCTGAAATCAAAGTAATAAAACAGGCTCCACTTAGGTCCTTAAATCTGTGTAATTTCATTACATGCTAGCTTAAATTCTTTATTTAATCTTCAACAAAATAATAGGTTTTTGCACTTGAAGTGTCACAGAAACACAGAACTGCCAGCTGGGAGGGACTTCAAAAGATCTCCCAATGCCACCCTTCATGGAAAAGGGAGCCTCGATCCCATTATCAAGCACCCTTGATCCCATCACATTTTGAAAACCTCTAGTGATGGAACTCCACCACATCCCTGAGGAGATTGTTACAGTAAAATAACTGTTCTTACTGTTAAAAAAAAAAAGCTTTTTAGTATCAAAATAAAACCTTTTCCAGTGCAACCTGTATCCATTGCCCCACATCATCTCCATATGTTTTCTGGTGAAGACAAAACCTTGCCCCTCTTCTTGCAGCAACCCTTTAACTGCTGGAATAATGTGATGACTTTTCCAAGAAGGAAGGAACTAAACCCTTTAGTCTTTGGTTATAGGGCAGGTTCTCCAGCCCTCTGATCTTCTTCATGGCCCTCCTTTGGGCCCTCTCCAGTCTGCATCATTCTTGATCTGCAGGGATCCAGACTAGACAGAGTACTCCAAGAGTAAATAAAGCTGGTGTCAATTTAAAAAAAATATACACTTTACTTTAACCAACATTGAAAATCTCACCTTCTTGAGAGTTAAGATCATCTCTGTATGTTTCTGAGCTTGTTGCATTGTGACTTGAAGTGATGCAAGCTCATCAAGGGCCTCAATACACCTGTTCACATCCTGCATATAAACAAGAAATTAGTCTGATGACTTATATGTTAGCAATCTTTAATTAGCCACACTAATCTAATTTCTGTGCTCAGCGACACCTTCCTAGAATATCCTTGACTACATACTTAATTTTAGAACAATTTATATAGTCAAACTTAGCAAAAAAAAATTTAACACTAGTTGTCTTTTAGCTTCTCCCATAAAAGGCAGATTATATTTGACTAAATTGTAACATTTAACAAGAATTTTATACTTTCAACATACATAAAGCAAGCTTTATGCTCCTTTCATGATTCTAGTATTTCTATGCTTGAAGCTGTTCACCACAGTCAGGCTTTACCATGCATAATTTTTCCCAAGTGACTAATTACCAAGAAGGCAGGAAAGCACCTTAAGTGGACTGTAGTTATACACTCGACTAGTGCATAGTTATACACAGAGAACTCATACACTCATGTCCTCATACACTTCCTGCTATGTCCTCTTTTTAAGTATGCTTTGACCTCTTTTTAAGTTTTCACAGATGCACCACCATCCTATCTGAGGGGCTCAGCCATGCTAGGCTGGAAGTGATTAAGTCTAGCACAAGGCAGTCCCCCTCCCCTCACGAACAGAACCTTGCCTCCAACACCAAGAACAACTCTGCGTTTCCCTAGCTGGAACAGTTTGCTGCTCCTCATGCTGCCATACTTCTTCACTCATGCTTATTTTCTTATCTGCGTATTTTTGCCAGACTGAAAACTCCCAGCTCTCTTGGCCTCCTCTTTTTCAATATATGCTCTCCAGCCCTTAATCCATCTTTGTGACCCTACACTGGGCACCCTAAAGTAATATCTCTATTGCTCTAGGGAGCCCAAAATACAGTCCAGTGTCTCATCAGTGCCAAGCAGAGGGCAACCACCACATTCCTTCCACGTTCTGGCAACTCTTTCACTAATGCAGCCCAGAAAGCTGTTGAGTATTTTAGCCACAGAACTGTATTGGTGGCTCATGCTAAGCTTGGGGTCCACCAATACCCCCAGGTAATCTTCTGACAAACTGCTATTCAGCCACTCAGTCTCCAGCCCATGCTGGAGGCACGTGGTTATCACTCCACAGGTGCAGTACTGGAATTGAAGTTGATGAAGTTCCTGTTGGCCCATTTCTCCAGCCTGTTCAAGTCTCTCTGGATGGCAACACTCCCATCAAACCTTTGATTTCAATTTTGTATCATTTGCAAACTTGCTATAGGTGTGGTTTGTATCATCATCCCAGTCTTTAATTACACATTTTAAAAGTATTGACTACTAGTGACTGGCCTGTAGCTGGACTCTGCCACCAATCAGATTTTTGTGCCCTGCTGTTCAGCTGGTTTTCAGTCCATCTTTCTATCTGCCTTTTTCAGTTCAGACTTCATAAGTTTGTTTTTGAAGCTGTCCTGAGAGACAGTGTCAAAAGCCTTTTTAATCTTAATAGAAACAATATCCACTCTTTCATCCACCAAGCTGATCATCTCACAAAAGGACATCATTTTAGTCAACCATAATTTCATCATCATCATCAACCCAGGCTGAAAACTCTCAGAGTTCTTACTCTACTTCATATCATTGGAAACAATTTCCAGGAGGATTTGTCCCATCATATTTCAAAGAATTGGTGTGACATTTGCTTTCTTCCAGTCCTTAGGAGCTAGCCCCTCATCACCATGACTTTTTAAAACCAAAATGGATCAGATGGACAATGACATCATCCATCTCCTCCAGCACTCTTCTGCTTATTCTGTATTGGGGCTCTGTCTAAATGTTCTCTAATTTTACCTTTGTCCTCTGAGCATCAATGTTTTCTTGTTTTAATCCTCTGCGTCTGAGGACCTAGGACTCCTGAACAGAATTGTACAAGCAAACTGAGGTCAAGATGACACTGGTTACCTTAGCCATCTCCTTTTTCACTAGAGTGCCTATCATCTTCTTATCTCAATCAGCAGCAGGCCCACATTTTCCTAGCCTTTAAGATGAATCAACCTTGAGAAGGAGGTAATCCCTAAAAGTGAGCCAGATGTCCTGTCTTCCCTCTAGCATGGTTTCTCAAGAGATTCTTCCAAGCAGATGCCTGTAGAGGTCAAAGTCTGCTCTCCTGAGTCCAGGGCTATGATCCTTTTCATCCAGCTCCCTTCTCCCTGAACTTCACTATCACAGTCACTACAGCTAACATTGCCCCGGACCTTCACATGCCTGACCTGATCTTTGCTGTCTGGAGGATCAGGTCTAACAGGGTGTCTTGCCTTATCAGCTCATTCATCATCTAAGTTAGGCAATTACCAAACTCCAGAAGCTTCCTGCATTGCTGTGTTACCCACATGTCCCTTCAGCAAGTACCAGGATGTTTTAAGCTTCCAGTTGGAATTGAAGGTGTCTCCTCATTGTCTTAAGATGACTTACTCTATTCTTATTCTTATTCTCTATTCTCCTTGATCCAGTGATCTGCAGCAGACATTCTCAGGATGTCACTCATTTTGGTTTGCCCATAAATCCTAACCCATAAGGTCCCAGTTGGTTTATCAGCGGCCCCAGTGCAAAGCTCCATACATTTCAACTCGTCTCTCACATGAAGTCATTCTTCATCTTGTCTTCCCAACACCCATCTTTCCTAAAGAGCCTGTAAACATAGCAAGGCTCACCTCACTTCTACCTGAATCTCTAACACTAATGAAACCACAGTCTTGCAACTGCAGAGAGATGTCCAGTTGCTCCTCACACTACACGTATTAGTGTACAGCCATCCCTAAGAGAAACACAGTTGTGAAGACATTCCAGAAAGGTTATGAGAGTTTTCCTCATTATACTGGGCTGCCAGCAGTTCCTCATTCAATGTGCTGATGATTGTGGTCATGTCACTTCATGTCCTGTTCTGCTAAGAAATTCTGTTGATTACAAGGTCAGTTTACATCACCCTGCTGACATGTGTTTACATCTGCTTGCCATCCTGCTCCACCATTTCCTCCTCTGCTACCATTCCTAGTCCTAGCTCTTTAACCAGGCTGGCCACCCCCGTGGTAGCACTTTTGGGTGGATCCTGCTTACCTCCTAGCACACCTATCCATTCCTTTGCGAGACATTTCCTCAATAAAGGGATCATCGCCTGGGTCCCTATACCTTTACCATTACTCTCAAGAGTCACACAGTCATGCCTGATACTTTCAAAGTGTCCCCTGACTGTATTACTGGCACCCAACCTGAAAACCTGCAGCACTAAACAAATGGTCATAAGGGCAGAAAGCCTCAAACATCTATCAGTAACATTTCAAATCCAAACCCCTAACAAGCAGCAGATTTCCACTGATAGTGAGTGGAGTCAGTGGATTGCAGCCCTAATCACTTGCATCCTACTACTGCATCCAATGTCCTGTTGTTTCCACATGGCTCAGCAAGCTGATTTGGCACCAGATGTTCTATCTGATGTAACTCTATCTGAATTTTTCTGGTAAATAATTTATTATGTAATATTTTCAAATAAAACAGATTTCATTTGCTGACATTCATCTTTCACTGCCCACAGTAACCACATTTAAGCAGCAGTTATCTTTCGTATGGAAAGAATTCCTGTCATTTTCAGAGTATTAATTAAAAACAAGAACACATGCCAAGTATTTCCTACTGGAATTTGAAATATGAATCAGTTAAAAAAATATACTTACAAGGTTATCAATTTTCAGGGAATTCTTTATTTCTGCATGTATCCTTTGAAGCCTAGAATCCACTGAAGTTTCTGAGGATTAAAAATAATACTCATGAACATTTGTTATTCACATCAAGTTTGCTTTTGCAGAAATGATTCCACAAGTATAGACCTCATACAGAATGCAGAGCAAAACAGGAAGGCATCCTACATGCTGGTACACATAAATACAATCAGACAAAAGTACATAGGTTTTTAAAACTGAACATTATTGGCCACACACACAATTTTTTCCTTAGCAATTACAACTGAAAAGAATTTTATATTCCAAAACACAGCTGTCACCCTCTAACCGTAGGCCAGCTTAACAAGAAGTTTTAATAAACATTAAAAGTTACAAAGCTGGAAGACCTTCCATGACAGGACATCTGGATACTGATGGTTTGTTTTCAGTAAATTGGTCATGATTCAAGTTACAGTCCAAATCCATCCAAATAAAATGTTCCCAGTACACATGCTTCAGAAGTGTGAAAGATGAATGGACATGGCACTCCCTATTTCACATGCTGAATGCCTGCTTGGATTTGGTATGTACTCTGAAAAATAATGCAAGCAGTTTCCTTTAAGTCAAACCCATCTTGGATGGGTTTATATAGTTTCTATGCAAACTATACAGTTTCTATATGGGTTTGGATAGTTTCTATTTGCCCTCTTGCTCCAACATCCATGCCACTGGATCTGTACTATACTACAAATTACAGACAGTGGTTTGGATTGCCCTCAAAGATGGAAGTACTGAAAAAAGGAATTACTTATCCCTATGAAGGTCAGTCTGCAGGCATGGGTTAACAGATAAGACCACAGTACTCCGAATCTGAGCCTCCTACTGAGTGAGAAGTAAAACTAAATAGTTTCAAGAGGTCCCTCAGAGTATTGTGTTATGAGAAGATACAAGGGAAAAAATGATGAGAGTAAGTAAAGTGATTTATATCAAAGAATGAGAGCTTTTCTTCTCGTGTTCACAAACAGAAGAGAATGGGGTTTAAAAGCTCAAATGACAGTGAAGTCAGAATAGCAAAGACCTGTTCTACTGCACTGCAGAAAAAACATAGAAAGACAAAAATGCACCCTTTTACAGATGTAAAAGAAGAATCATGGATCAAACATCTCACACTCAGACCACATAGCCACTCTCAGCAGTACATTATCAACCACTCTCAGCAGAACATTATCCAGGAAGAAATGACATTCAAAATATAAAATGACCAAAAAGTACTGGTTCTTTAAACTAACCTCTCTTCTTCTCAATCTTCTTAACTTCTGCTTTCTTGCCTTCTTCTTTATTCTGCCTATCAAAAATGTTGAAATGTTTTTACAATGTTGTAAAGCCTACTTTTTTTCCCCCCGGTTTTTGGATGAGATACAGTATTTTGAGGTATTATCTCACTAAAACATTAGCATGCGAAAACCACAAAGGAGCCAAACCCTGGTTTTCAAGGACGAACAATTTAACAAAAATTAATTAGCTAGGATACGGCTGACAAATCCTCCATACTCAGAGCCATATTTTTCTAGAAGCTGCAAATTAAAGGATTTTAAAAACAAATAATTTCCAAACTGTATCTTGGTTCTTGTTGCATATTAACGTAACATATTAACTGGTAAAATGGCATCATACAGAACTAACTTATGGAGAAACAAAATATTTTAATTATCATGACAAAAGGAGTAAAATTATTTACCATTACCACAGGGAATTTGTAGAGAGATCAACTAATCATAATCAGTTCCTATATGACTATTTTCTCAAATAATTAATTGTAACAGTATACATATCTTACAACTGACCACAAATGTGTCAGTAATAATTTGAAAGCTCTTGAAGGAAGTAATAATACAGAAAAAAAAAATTATTACAAGTGCAGTAATAAACCTCCTTGATCTTTCCCCAGTTGTATCACTGAAAATAAAGCTGAGTCTCAAAAAAACCAACAAAAAAATTTGTTTCCATTTCAGTTATAGGATGAAGACAGGCAAAAATCTTTGAAACAAGCTTTTGAGCTCTTTACGCAGAGAAAATGATGAACTTCTGTTTAACAATCCCTCAGATTTGCCTGAGAGATTTAAAAGCTTACTTTTAGAATTTGCATATTTCAGCATATCATGACTAAATATCCTGTGGCTAGTTTTCTTCCTGTCATACTAATCTGCATACATAAAATATGTAGGTCTGCATGTCTTCCATGTTTCTTTCATAAAGAACAGAAAACGTGTCTGCTTCAACAGGCAGCACAATCTCAACAGTACAGATAAACTTTGCATATATACAGAATGGTGTACAAAGCACCTTAATTAAATAAATATTAATGAAGTAGCTACCAGAACATGGAAACTATGATGTTGAGCAAAATAATCAAAACACGTACCAGCCTATACTAATTTTACACTTTATCAATATTGAATTTTGTGGTATTAGTCATCAACTGTAATTAAATTTATTATGTAGTCCCTTTATCTTCCTGAAACAGAACTCTATCTACCCTCCAATGCATAAAATATGATAGCTATTTAAAAGCAGAAATTTGGTTATTATAACTAAATCAATATATGACAGATGGATTCCCAAAATCAAACTAACATGTGTTAAATAGTGATACATTAAAAGCTACTAAGATGCTAAGGCAATTTAGTATCTCTGAAACTGGAAATGCTTAAGTTTGCCACAAATAGGTAAAGCATTTTTGTTGGATCTCCAGAGGAGTGACAGGAAGGAGAGCAAAAAGTACTGAAGCATGAGAAAAGAAATACCTAAAAAACCTACATTTTTATTAATGAATGTGAAAAAGACAGATAAACTTTATTCTCCTCCTTTCCTCCAGATTTTTACCTGGTTCTCTCCCTTTCTTCTGCCCTCCCACCAATGGTGGGGATGAGAACATTAAGCTCTTGTGGTGCAGCTTTTTCACTCATTAGCAGAACAGTGAATGAGTCAGATTTCTTCCTACTGTCCTACTCTCCAAGTTCCTGGTGAGATCTTCTATCCTTATTCTTATTCTGCTCTTGGTCATTCAATTGGCTTTGCAATAGCAATTACTTTTTCCTTGTTCTGTCTGACAGCATGTGTTCCAACTGTCAGACAGAGAAGGAAATGCTTTCCTGATAACCTATGCTTTCCATACCTCACCAAAAATCTGTAACCACAGACTAATAGGACCTACCTATAAAATTTAAAAAATAGGTCCTATAAAATTTAACCTAAAAATTTTAAGAAAAATATATGGCTGTCCTGAACAGTTTTTCACATGGATATTCTTAAGTTAGTTCTAAAAAGAACACACAAGCTGTCCTCTGCCAGAGATTCTACATCACTGGAAAACTGAGATCACTTAATTTCTGTGTCCATTCTTCCTATTCTCCCACAACAGAACATTCTGGTTCAAGAAGCTTTTTACCCTCCCCTCAAACAGAAGTTAAGATAGAAAACCAAAAAGTGCAGGGAGAGAGAACAGTACAACACAGTGCAAACCACTTTGAAAGTTTTCCAGAAGTTTCACCTCCTATTAGCTTAAACATATTCCTACAACCGGCGGGCATCCCGTGTTAAAATACACTCACGATTCAGGTTCTGTCTGTTCCTCTTGCTTACGCTTTCTTTCCGTTACTTCTCTCTCATGCTGGCTTCTTACAGTGTTTCTTCTGTGAGCTGCTGGAAAGCTTCTTCCCCCTTTTTTCTTCTGCTTTCATTGGCATTTTATGATTGGAAAGAGAAAAGAAACATTATTAAATTATTGTTCTGTAAACAGATGAAACTAAGTATCTTTGAAACAACTCTACTCCATGGAGCAACCTGACAAACACCAGCTTTCCCTGAAGCTAAACACAATTCCATTAGTCCTTTCTCATTTTTTATTTCAATACTAAACACCAGAGGGCAATACTAAGCTCCAGAAAAATGAAGACATTACAAATTGTTGGCTAGAGACAGTACCTTTCAAAACTGTGATTTCAAGCCACATGTTCTTCAGATGCACACAAGGAAAACAACATCTGTCTTCCAAAGAAGATAGATTAAAAAAACCCCATAAGCCTCTTGACATTTAAATCCTTTGTTAAAAGGTATCTTAGAAAAGATGCTTTTCTTAGAAAATACTAGAAGTTCCTGAAATAATTATTTGAGAAAAATGTAGTTCTGAAACTTTTATTCTACATATCTGTACACCAGCCACACCAGACTCCTACCATCATTAAGATCTAGCATTAACTTGAAGAAAGATTGCCAGTGATACTACTTTCCTCTATAATAAATTTATCAGGAAAGTAAAATTATACCTTGTCCCCTTCTTGTTCTTCTCCTTCATCTTCAGAATCAGAAGCTGATGCAGAACCCACTTTTGCAATATTTTTCCTTTTTGGTTCAGTTTCTTTCTTTCCTTCCTTTTTATCAAATTCTTTCTTTGATTTCTCCTCTTCCTTCTGACTTTCCTCATCTTTTTTCCCTTGCTTTTTGGGCTTTTCTTCTGGTCCTTTTTTCTTTGCCTTCTCCTCCTCATTAACACTAGAACAAAAACAGTGTTTAGGCATCACATTCATTATCTACAGTGAATTAAAAGAACAACATTCTAACTCAGGAATCTGGGTTTTTTTTAACCACAGAACAGTAAAATGACTAAGTTAATTCACTTAAGGACTCTTCTAAAATAGTATTTTCTCTGAAATTAAAACCCACTACCTGTGGGGGGAAAAAATCTCCAGCAAATAAATATCAGTATGGAGGGCCTAGGTGCATAGATACTAACCTAAGAAATTAATTCTCAGTGGATTTTCCACACACAGATGGGTCTGTAGGACCCAGAGTGCATACACTGTAAACTAGGTTTATAAAGTATACTTAAGTTATTCCTATTCCAAAACCGTGTATCTGATAATTTATAGAAAACTAAACCTATGTTCAACTTTTCCTTGACTTACTAGAAGCACTAGACTTGACATAAGAACTGAAGACGGCAAAACCAAAAGGCAGGTAACTAGCAATTTCATCAAAAGTGATTTCTGAAACAAAAGTGTATGAAAAGGAAATTGCTCTTTTATTTTTGTTAGATGTTATATTTTCTCTTAATAAATATCTTTCCTCTTCACTCAGCATACCATCATATAAAGGATTTTTTACAGATTGGACAAGTTAGGAAGATGAAGATCTTCTCTCTCCTGTTTCAGAAATGTTCTTCGTTGAATTACTCTGTATCTTAAAACCATCTACACAAACATTAACTTATACCGAACACTAAAGCGGCAAAAACCTGTCAGAAGTAATAATTTTCAAGTCTTAACACAAGGAGCAACACAATTGACAATGAAGAAGCTTTATATTAAGAAAAAACTCACAAGTCACCCTCTGAAAGACATGATGGTTTCACCAACTTGGGTCTCCCTCTTGGTTTGGGGACTTTTACTTCAGAAGCTAGTAGTTATACAGAAATAACAGGTTAGTCCACAGCCACCATCTGTTCCTTGTCTATGTGTCAAGATACTTACTCAACAGATATAAACCACACTTAAATCAAAATATACAACCTAACTTTGTTGCTGTAGAGAATTAAAGGTAATTGAATACCAAACTTAATCAAGATATCTGAAAAGTTAGTGTTGGCAGTTTTTTTAGCTGACTGGTGAATTATAAACTTTGATGCTTTCTAGCCACAGGCTCTGTCTACTAATTCTTGTGCTTTTTGCAATCTATATACAGTTGTCATTTGTTTCATATGTTGTGTAACTAAAATGAGTCTCAAATCAGATAATGAGAAACCTGACATTAGAAGATGAAGAGCAGTCATTTATGCCTACATTTATACTGTTTGTTGTCCGCTAGTTTTACTCCTGTCTTAGGGTTCCCATCACTTTTCAGGCTAACAAACCACTGTAAAGAAGTTCTACCACCACACTACAGTGCTGATCAAACCTCTTCATTTCCTCAGATTCACTACATTGTTAGGAGTAAGACAGACTGCCTTCTTAGCACTTATGTACCTCAAATGCTTGTCCAGTACCACAGTGACTATGTTGTCAGGAAATCTAATATTCAGAGTTTAAACTGCTACTGGTCTTAGCACAGAGCACTTTTAAGCATCCTATCAACAACAGAAAAGGCTGCATAGTATATTTTCCAAAAAGATTTTTTATATAGAAGGCAAAAGCATCTCTTACAGATCCTTTCCTGCTCTTACTGACATTAGTTAGTAAAAATCACTAACTTTTTTTACCAAAGAATTGTAAAGATAAACCCACAAATATTAAAAATCCGTATTTAGTGCATGTAATGAAATGGCAGAAGGTGATGAATTAATACTTAATTTCCTCACTGCTTCCATGGCAGAAGTGATTAAAGTCTATTTCATTGTGGTTCTGCTGTTTTTATATTGACAGCAGATAGAAGACCACAAATTGTTTTCTTGACTAGGTGCTCATACAATGTACTGAACTGCTGCAAGAACTGTCTTTCAAAGCAGTAATTAGTGATCAAGAATATCTGCAAAAGCTTACCATTAAAGTGACAACAGATCACTGCTAATTTGAAAGGACAATATTATTACTAAATGGTTCTAACAAACCATTAAAAAAAAAAATCAGTTGTATTTTCTTTTTATTTGCCTATCAATCAATACAGACTACCTTAAACATCTGAACATGTCTCTTCAGCTCTTACTTTGTTTTTCTTGTCCTCTGAGCTCCAGAGCAACTACAGGCTCCTTGTTCCCCCAGTTCTCATCTTTGTTTTTATGGATCTTCTAACTTTTTTGAAGTATTTTACAGGGCTTTAATGAATACAAATCTTTATGCAGCAAACCCACCAGAGAGTCCAAACCAGCCACTCTTTAATTTAGAAGATTAAACATTAACACTAACAATTTAAATCCATTCATGTCCTGAACTCATCAATTTGAGATGTTTTCTCACTACGATCTATTAGCAAAATTTGCCTTTAGCATGCAAAAATACTCTGTAGTACTTGAGGGAAAGGAGATAATTCCTTGACTAATTCTACTAAAGTATTTCTGTTGTGAAAAAAATTAAATCATTCTTCTGAAGTTACCTGCTGGTCTTCCTCTTTTGGGGCTTACTTTTGGAGACACTGGCCCAGTAGTTGTTGCTGCCCCTGCTGCTACTTCTTCAGCTTCAGCTTGTTTTTCAGACTATTTTAAAGAATTAATTTCACCAGTGAAAAAACACACAGCACCAATATCTCAACTATTTTCTCAAACAAACACCTTTAAACTTCTGGAAATATGTTATTATGTGATTTCTTGTACACACAAGAAATGTCTCTGAAGTAACAGTTTCACCCTCTCCAATCCCAAATGAGGAACACAGTCAAGAACTTCGTGTCCTGGATAAAGGACGACTGGAGTACAGACATAGCATGGTACTTTTCTGTGACAAACATACTAAGGTCACAAACACTTCATATACTCATCCCCCACCCCTGCTGTCATCTGTAAATTTGGAAGGTAAGGTTTCAAACACAAAATTAAGATCTGCCCTACTTAATTCTAGTTTTTAGTTGGGTCAGTGCCCTGATCCGGCCTGTTGTGTGACCGCAAGAACATTAAGGTTAGTGTATGCTGAGCAAGCAGCTGGAACTGTCTCTTTCAAAGTAACTCTGTATTCTCTCAGGTTGTAGAGACCACAGAAATCACACATTTGTGAAAAAGGGGAGTATTTCAGGTGTTAGTTAGACAAAGATGTTAAAAGAAATTTTTCAGAGCTCCAATGCAGGTTATTTTATTAGTAGTTTAGCAACAGTTTATGTCTTACTTTTTCTTATTTGCAAAGAGCTGTTTGGGAAAGACAGGACTCCATATTCCATATCAGGTTAAAAAACAGTTAAGAGTTGTAAAACACTCTGGGAAAACTTTAATTCCTGCAAATCCTTCAGACATTTGAAATGGGGGAGTGTGAAACACTTAAATTTATGCATAATCTGTCATGAAAGGAAATAACATCCAGTATTACCACATCCAAAAAATTCCAGTAACGTGAAGTAATTAAACATATTGTTACCTTTCTTTTTCTTCCTCTTCTAGCAACTTTAGGAATAGAAGCATCATTTGTTTTCACCACATCCTGTGAAGATTAAAAAATGTTCCTAAGAATCTCAATGAAACAAAGATATATATCATTTATTCTATTTTTTTTTTAACACAATAAAGCCTCTGGCACACAACTTAGACAAGATTCTTGTAATGTACATGAAGACACTGTGTGCTTTTAAAATTATTAAAATCTAAAATTATTAGACATTAGGAAGAAATTCTTTACTGTGAGAGTAGTGAGGCACTGGAACAAGTTGCCCGGAGAGGTTGTGTGCCCCATCCCTGGCAGTGTTCAAGGGGTGGCTGGATGTGGCTCCGAGCAACCTGCTCTAGGAAAAGATGTACCGGTCAATGACAAGGGGGTTGGAACTAAGTAATTTTTAAGGTCTGTTCCAAACCAAATCATTCTATGATTCTGTGATTATTTGATACTTAGGACCTTTTCCTGAGATATTAAAAAGAAATTAAGTACTAAAAAATATTCCGTTCTAAGTAAAGATGCTATGTAGTGATGTTTTAGTCTATCTAGACTATTTATCTCGTCTTTAAAAGAAGTACATTTGCAACATAGTAAGTGTAAGTGGTTGGTGATAAAATACACAGTCTTCCAACTGTTTTAATTGAACCTATAGACAAATCAGACTAGAAGTTTCCTCTCTAATGAAAACTTCAATTTCTGGGAGCTTGAGTGAGAGGTATGTGACTGAACACAGAGAAAGTTTTACATAATTAAACAGCTCCTGAAACTGCCACAGCAGTAATAACTGCAGTGTCTTAATGCTCAGTAACAGATTTACACCAATAAACATAATATGATGATATTCTCTGTTATGTAGAAAAAAAGCTCTCACATACTTCTTTACTGGTTTTGTCAGAAGGCAGATCATCTTCCTTTGAAGTATCCATCTCCTTTTCTTCTGTTTCAGCTTCTGTAGGTAAGTTATTATCCCCTTTCGGGGATAACTGCAAAGCAAGTCAACAGAGGATAAAAAATGCATTAGAAAGTACTTTAGAGTGAAAAGAGAACATGTTAATTACCATCAGGCTGCTCTTCACGTTAAGTTTAAGCACATTCATTTCTTAGGTACCCATTAAAAGTCTAATGGTACTGGACTACCAGGGAGCTGGGCCTGTCCAGCCTCAAAAAGAGATGACTGACAGGGGATCTCATCAATGTGCAGAAGTGTCTGGAGAGACAGTGCTGAGAGGATGGATCCAGGCTCTGCTCAGCAGTGCCAAGCAACAGCAGAAAAGGCAATGGGCACAAACTGATGCACTGAAGTTTCACCTCAACATGAGGAAGAACTTCTTTACTGTGCAATGACCAAGCACTGCAAAAGACTGCTAAGAGAGTTTGTAGAATCTCCCTCCTTGGAGATGTTCAAGAACAATCTGGGCACAGTCCTGCCCAAGGAACTCTGGGATGACTGCTTGAGCAGAAAGGTGAGCCAGACTAGGTTCCTTTCAGCCTGACCCATTCTTTGATTCTGTGTGAGTAACCCTTCAGTCAGTTAAGGATACCTGTCGTGGCTGTGCTTCCTCACAGATTCTTGTGCACCTCCTCACTGACAGAGCACAGGTTTAGGGTAAACGCTACTTGGCAAAAACTAAAACATCAGTGTGTTATCAACATTTTTCTGATACTAAATCTAAAACACAGCACTGCATCAGCTACTAAGAAGAAAACCAAGCCTATTCTAGCTGAAACCAAATAAAAACAACAACAACAATAATAATAATGATAATAATAACGGCCAAATAAACCACAAAGTAAGTTGTTTCATCACTTGTAAGATTGCAATTTATGCACTTTTTCTTGTTTTGTTGGGTTTTTTAAAACCTTTAAAATACTAATTTTGGTTTTGGGAAAGCAGTTAAAACTTGAAAAATCAACAGTTTGTAATTATTTACTTGAAAATAATCAACACTTCCTTGCAGCTGATATATCTGCATGTCTTTAAATTATCAGTTCTCTCAATTTGAATACTATTGTCTTGTCCCACTTTCAAGCACCTTTTTTAAAATTCCATTTTTAAGTAGCTAACTTTTAAAATTTCAACACTAAACAAAGCAACTACCACACAACATATCTAATTACATGAAAATACATAACATCACTGAGTCTTTTTACAGAGTACAATTTTAAGACAGAAGAACTACTGGTTCACTAAAACCAAAGGAAACCAGAGTACAAGGACTGGTTAATGGAATGTTATAGCTATATTAGCAAAAAAAAGAAAAAAAAAGGAATTTGCTCTGGATTTTGCCTTAAGATGATTCATTAGGCAAATCTATACAAAAGGACCGATTCATGATCTTCCATTCCATCTTTATATTTAAATGGCTCTATGTTTTCCTGTTTCTCTTACACTGTGCCAGCACTGAACAGCCTAAAAGCACTTTTGATGAGAAACATGAAGCTTAAGTCATTGGCATTCCCACTAGCATATGCTGCTTGAGGCGTAAATTCAGAATGAAGCAAACTGATTAATCAGTTTAAAAGAAGTTTCCCCCCTCACAGTAGCAAATGCTAAGAACAAATGCTTTTATAGGCAGCATGCACAGGCAAAAGCAGCATTGCTTTGCTAACACTGCCAGGAAATTACGTGTTTCAAACCACTGCTAAGGTATAACAAATCGCTCTCACATTCCACATTTGCAACTACTAAAAAAACGAACTCTAGGCAGTAAGAAGTTGGGAGAAATAATCAATCAAAAATTCTGCAGGCTCCAACACAACAAAACCATTCTCAACACCATTTATCAGTATCCTACCAGTAGACTAATTTTTTTTTCCCTCTCATCAAAGGACGTTTTTACTCCTGAATAACCAAGCTATTACAGCTACTGGACACTAATCCTATTTGTTATGTATCTGACACAATGCAAATTCTTCAGTTGCAATTGTGAATCAGTACTGAAGAAGAGCCAGCAACACTGACAGAAAAACTACATAAAATCTTGACAAATAATCAGAATGGAAACAGAGGTCAAGAATAAAGGCAAACCTACTCAAAATAGCCTGACATTTAAGGGCACTGCTTATCCTGTTGAGAAGTAATTTCCAAAAATGAGTTACAAATAAATGAGATACCATAAATGTCAATCTCACCTGCATGACAATTTTTGTCATTTCAGAATTATATTCTTAAAACCACTGAGAAGAGCTGGCAACACACAGTGTCTCTTCCATGCCGTGTGAGAAATATCCCCATATGAACAGAACATTCAAGAATAGAGAAAAGTTCAAAGCAGTGTACTACTGAATCATTAAATGTACAGTAAACTAGGAAGCTTTACCTCTTACAGTATTAACTAGGTACTGCATCAGCAAATTGAAACAAAGATGTTTCAGACTGAAATTAATTTTGTTTTGAAAAGCTTCTAAGGTATGCACACATTTACAAAGCAAAGAAGATAAACTCTTTAAATTACTGCATGCTGATTCCTGGCTTAAGAGTTGAATTGATACAGCTATGAGAAACTCTATATGCAAAGTAGTTCATTCAGGGTATGGTCTAATTCAAGTTGATTCTTCTAAATCTTCTCTGGCAAACACACTTAAGCACCCTTTCACCCATGACAGACCCTAATGCTCTGTTCTGCTTTTCAGTATAAATGATCACAACTGAAAGTGAGTCATATCTGTCAATAATATGAAAAAGTCTTCAAAAACAGAAAGGAAAAAGTTAACCTAATTATTCTTGACAATAATTATAATTTCCAACTTCTCGTGCCTAGGAAGTACTGTATGAATTTTGTTTAAGTGTATTATGATACAGAAATACAGGCTGGTAAAGAAATTAGTTTTCAAAAAACATAGAGCACTGTAAAAGGAAAACAGAAGGACAAAAGCATTACTGTAAGTATACCTGAAAAGAAGCAAACACAGGCAAGTTACAACATTAAACCACTGTTAGTTTAAAACATTTAAGTAAAGACTTGGCAATATAGTTTTGACTTGAAAATATTTCTGGCAGAACAAAGCAGAAATTCAATCACTTACTTTTGGGACAGAACACTTTTTTCTCTTGGCTCCCACTTTTTCTTCACTCCCCTCAGCAGGCTCCTGACTGCTTTCTTCAACAGTTTCATTGATAGGAGTGTTAATGGCTGGATGGGGCTTCAATTAAAAAAAAACACCAAAAATGAGATTAAAATCCCCTCCTCACCTGAGGTATATTCTCCCATATATATTACTGAAGAAAGCATCATGTCAAGGAACCCCTTACTAGAAGGATAAGAATATTAAATACATCTTAATTCATTTGTTTCCACTGTTTTCAATTTAATTTGCAACTTCTTTATTAACCTTTCAAACTCTAACGCTGTAACAACTCATTTTCACATTACCATACTGCAATGTAAGTATTTTCTTATGTATAATATAATATCTTAACATATCTGAAAGATAAGAAATAATACAAAAACGTTCTTGGTCAAATATAACCTTCTGATGCTACTATAAAGAACTGCATTTTTAAATATGCTATAAATCCTAAGTAATTCAACTACTTGGTCCTGAAAATGTAAGAAGGAAAAGGATTACGGTAAGATAATGAATGAATTAAAAGTTAAAACCATAGTAACAAAGGAGACAAAGCCTAAATTACTCTTTTTTCTTCCATTACATTGTGCATGGCTTTCTCCCTCTTATGTACTAGCTACTTCAAATTAAGCTGGCAGAACTCCCCTCTTTTTTCCCCCACTGAGGAAGTGGGTTTGGGTTTAAGCCCAACCTACAATCTCCTTTCTGCCCTCCAACTCCCTTACTAGAAGTTACAAGCAACATCTGCAAAGTATCAATACTGCTCTTAGAACATTCCAGGTCTGGCAATGAATGGAAAATATGGCTCTCAGAAGGCCTTGCTGAAATAAAAAAATGCAATGGAGAACTGCTAGCAAACAACCCATTTTGCCACTGCTTGGGTCCTTCAGAGGGAATAGAAGCATTTACAAAGCAGGAGCAGACTGCAGCTTCTCAAACCTAAACTGCCAGCTGTACGAACTGTGACACCCAGATGCCATAATGCTCTGCAGCTGAAGATGTGGTGCAACAATGGGCTGTGACCATCCATGGCAGTGCCACTGCCAAGGACAGGGGTGTATCCCAGGAATGTAATGAACCTCGATACACGTGCCATTGTTATGGCCCCCACACTGCAGTGAAACTGCCAAGTCAGTGCCACTCAGCCAAGACAGAAATGAGTGGGTGGCAAGTCCCAGCAGAGCTCTGCCCACCAACAGAAGAAAGAAGGATCTTCACAGGATGCCACAGATTCCTGGTGGCAACTACCTTTCTCATTTTTTGTAATTCTTGGCTTTGCCCTACTTTTCTGTTTTCTTCCTTGCTCATCTCTTTGACATTGGAATAAAACTGAATTACCATTTTGATCACCATTACTTGACCTCTTGTCACTTAATCTTGCTGCTGGTATATTTGAATTTCCGCACCTCCATGTTAGGGTGGTGGACAGCTTAGGGAACACTCCCATACTGAGACGTATGTCCAGTAAAAGGACAAAAAAGAGGAAAAATATTTCAGGTGAATGACCCTATATTAAGAGCTCACAAGTCTGCCGCTTTAATATCATCTTGTATCCACATTAAAAGCTCAATTTTGCCTAAATCTTCATGTGATCGCATGATCACTCACTTCCCTCTGACTGTACCTGTTGCATGCCCAAACACAATATTTCCTACTCATCCTGAATTTTAAAGCTCTGACTCCTGAACTGTCTTCCCTGCTAGCTGTGTTTTTTAAGTGTGCAACTTATCTCCAAGAATCTTTAAAATCAAGGAGTTGTATGTAGTTAAAACATAGCAATCAAGGAATATCTTAAGACACGTTCATGTCCAAGACTGCAGCTAAAGAAATGTATCCATTCACCTGTGAACTAAACAGTGATTAGCAGGCCATAATACATTATTCCACTTTAAAATATTGTTGGGAGAACAGCTTATTTACTCATCAGTATCTACATTAGCTTTCCTCTCGGTTTTCATAAGCAACTACTTGCCTTCTCTTTTAAGATCCCTCACTGTCCATGCTCATCCCTCATGCTCACGGGCAAGTGCCAGTGACATGGGTGTAACCAAGTCCATCACTGCCCTTGCCCTGGCAAGGGGTGAACTGACCCACTTCAATAACCCACCTTACCTGAGAACAGATGGTGCCTTTACCCAAGTAGCAATGGGAGAAGGGGGAGAGGGGACAGGATAGTCATGCTAAGAACAAGATGCCTGCATAGGACACAAGGGGCTCTGAGACAAAAGAGATGGCCAAGGCAAGGAGGGACACTGAAAGAGGAGACACATAAGCCATTGCCCAAGTCAAGCTCCAGCCCAGAGGAGCTGCCTCATGCTGAGTACATTCAGTGAAGCTAGCTCACGTCATTGCAGTCTGAGTTGTGAATGGCAGGAGCTAGAGGCAAGAGATCTTGAAATTTGCATACAGAAGGCACGATAGCCCAGGTGAGTGGACACTCAGACACATCGGGAGCCAAGGACTCAACTGGAAGACCCCACAGTTGCCAAGCTTAGATTGTAAGGGTATATTGTAAGGGTCCAGGGCTTCCTTTGTCCAGGGTCCCTCCCAGGAAGCACCCAGCTCAAGCTGTTATTATGTGGTTGCATCATGATTAAATTACTTTATGGACCCAGTTGTCTGACACTACTAAACGAAACTCAGGGTCCAGCCATAAAGGAAACCTTGTCTCTGACTACGTGAGTGTAGTGTGTGCAGGGAGCCAGCAGGGCACCCAATGGGATCACTGGAGCAATCTGCTGCAAAGAGTGTCAGTCCCAGCTCAAGCTGTGGCGAGTGTGACTGTCACAGCAGCTCCTGGATGGTCAGACATGGAAGCTTTCTTAACACCAAGTACTGGCAGAGGGGAGACAGAAGGTACATGTCTGGATAGGGCTGCAGGCCATGGAGGAGCCCACATTGCACCACCCGAATAAGAAACAAGGAACAGCAAAAATAAAGCAACCACTTTACAAGTGACTGTCTCCTATACTACCAGTCTTACCCAGGGGACACACCGAAATGTGCAGAGAGGACACCTGGGACCAACAAAGCCAGAACAGAGGTGACTGAAGAGAAGCATGTTTCTCCAATTCTTTCTTTCATCCTTGTTTCTTTTCAACAGAACTATTAACAAAAATCATATCTTAACTGACTAAACTGCACCAAATTGAATGTTTTGTTGCCTATACTGTACCCCTTTTTAGCAAAGGTGGTGGAGCCTCAGAAATTGATTTCAAGCACTCTGCCACTCTTAAAACAAATACCAGCTTCCCCATAAACTCTCCAGTGGACCCAGATTCAGCTGAGATAGAGGTAATTCTCTTCTTCATAGCTGGTACAGTGCTGTGTTTTGGATTTAGTATGAGAATTATGTTCAAAACTCACAGATTTTTTTAGTTGTTGCTAAGTCGTGTTTATTCTAAATGAAGGAAAACACTAATTAGTAAAAACTAAAATAGTGTTATCAACAAGATTCTCTATACCAAATGCAAAACATAGCACTGCACCAGCTAGTAAGAAGGAAACTAACTCTATCCCAAGGGAAATCAGGACATTACACACTTAAACATCCATTCCTCCCCTGACTAAAATAGCCATAAGTCCTACTCCTCAAAAACACCATAGCTGTTATATACAGCCTTTTAGCAGATGTACTCTGTTAGCACCAACAAGGACCACCCACAAGTAAACACAAAAGCTGGCTAAAGGGCTTGATTTTCTCCAAGTAAAACTTGCTCTTAATAATGCCTAGCACAGAGAAGACTATCAAAAGGAAAGCTTTCTACAGTTAAATGACAAATTCAGAAGCAAATTTGCATGAATTTACTGCTTAACCTCATTCTTTCTGTAATTCAAACTGATCCAACCTTCCTGGCCAAGCAGGAAACCTACGCTGGCTGGACCATATTCGTATGACTTCTAGGTACCTCCAAGAATGCAGACTCCACAACCTCATTGAGCAATCTGTAGCAGTGCTCAGTGACCCTCACAGGAAAAAAAAGAAAAAAAAGCTTCCTTACATTCATAGGGAACCTCCTGTGTTTCAGTTTGTGCTCTTTGCCTCTGGTCCTGCCACTGGAAACCCCCAAAAAGGGTCTGACCCAGTCTCTTTATACCCTTGCTTCACATACTTGTATAAATTGAGGAGATTCCATGTCAGTTCACCAGGACTGAGCAGTCCCAGTTGTCTGAGCCTCTCCTCACAGCAGAAGTGCTCCAGTCCGTTACATTCATGGCCTTCCATGGGTCTCTCTGTCAAATATATTCATGTTCCTCAATTTGTATTGAGTAGCCCACAACTGGATGCAGGACTCCAGTTAAAACATCCCTACTAAGAAAAGCTTCTTCTTCAGTAATTTTATGGCCCACTTAGAGGAACACAACTTAAATATGACCTGTGGGAAAAGAAACTTTCTTTTCAGTAGAGAAATAAGGAAAAAACTGCCAAGAACAACCCAATGGCTCTAGACAGAACCTGACCAAGAAAGTGTGAAAAGTGCTGCCGCTGAAGCTGAAGAATTTGAATGAAATTAAAAACATAAAGGAATTATCTTGTAGAGAAGTTGTTACACTAACAAAACAGGCTGCACCTATCTCTTGGCAACATGTTTTGTGTATTTTCACAATTAGAGATGTATCTAGGAATGTCTCAGATGCTACTGAAAGCACTGCTTAACAGAAGAGACCGATTTCTGCAGTGAAAAAAATATATTAGACAAACTTTCTACTATTGATTATTTATATCCAGATTTTAACCTAGTTAGACTGGTATAGCTCACAACTACCTCAGGCATCCACAGAGCATCTCTTTTCAATTGCCACAATGAGGACAGTGAAAAGTTGTATCAATTTATATCTTACAGTAGCAGAAAGAATCTGTCTCTTATTACTACAGTCCTTCCCACTGGGATGCGGGGATTAATATCTCTCCACATTTCAAAGAAGAAAGTGTACATCTGTAATACATGACATTCTAACAATACTTCAGAAACTCCTTAAATCTTTATCCATATTCTCCTTCAAACTAGAAACACAGTAGCACAGGACATCTTATGAAGCAGGAATTAATTGGTGCTGAAATGGCAACCTGGCATTTTGTGCAAAATCAGGAAATAAAAACAGGAGACACCAATTTTTTTTATTATTTTTGCAACATTGCCTAGAAGGCCAAATGTAGCCAAGGTCAGTATTCATTCAGTGTACATAGCAAAACTAAAAGCTTACAGAATGTCTAGAGCAAGCAAAGACAAATTGAGCAAGAGAATTTATTTGTCTTCATATTAAATTTGGGTCCTTTTATGGGTAGCAAGGCATAAGTCTGGTTTAAGCTTAGAAGTCTTACAAAAAGAGCAAGAAAAGAGGAACTACTGATGGATAAAAAATTGAATCAAGCCACGTGAGAGGAGCTAAAAGGCAAACATCACATTGCTTCCAACTGCTAGAACGAAAATACTGCACACTAGGAGACCATGTACTGATATCTTACAAGGATACTTGTGGACATTGGTATTCGGTTTTGGAATACATAGGGCAGAGTGACTAAGACTCCAAGAAACATACCACTTTTCAAGCACAGTTACAAAGGTATTTCAGGAACATACGTAGTTGTAGGTAAGTATTTATCTCCAGTTAAACAACCCCCATGTCTTCTTATGCTATCGATACTAGACACTAAAAATAAACTGTATTTAAAATACATGAAATTTTGTCTAACCTGCAATTCAACAGCAGCAGTAAGTCATTACCCTATGTCAGGAAAACACTTACTGTATTTTCCCTCCTACCCCCATAGCAACAAAGATTTGCAGAATCTGCATAGCTTACCTGCTGATGAGAGAATTTCACTTTGGGATTATTGTCGATTTCCCACAACCCTTCATTAAAACCCTTTCTTTTATTTGGCTTGCCATATTTATCTTTATTTTCTGAGTAAGGGAATATGTCCTTTGGCCCCAAAAATGCCCTTAAGGAAAGAGAGAACAAAATTCACATTTTAATTAGTCTTTTCAACAAAGTAAGCACCAAGCGTTATTAAATACCAAATTCATTAGTATTACAACAACTATTCTACTAGAGTTTTTAGTTTTCTAAATTTTGGCCTGCAACACTCCAAGGTTTCCATTACTACCACTACCACTTCCCTCTTTCTCAGAGCATTGCATATCTGGGCAAGAAATGCTCAACAGTGCATTTTAAAATTGCAGATAACAAGTCAACTAGCTACTGTGAACAGGATCAATTAAAAACGAAGTAGCTTACAAACAGAAAGAGCAATTACCTCCTTACAGAAGAAAATCCGGCTTAAATGTTAAGAATAAAGTATCCTTGAATATTTTTATTGCACTAGATGTGAAAAAGCACCACCTGAATATACTGACTGCCCATTTACTTTTAAGAATGCTATGTAAAAATGTAATTAATTCAGCATTAATTCAGTAGTTTTTCAGGGTCTGACAACAGGACCTCACAACTTGAATTATGAAATTTAAACAATAAAGACTTTCTTATTTTAAGCTTCTCCCCCAGACATTTTCTTGATGAAGTAAACAAGACAATTATTTTATTTTTAAGACATTCTTGTAACAGCCTTGATGTTGCCTGCATATCTTTTCCAGACAAACAAAAACCACTCCTATTCCCTACTGTAAACTGTCGAACTAAAGCTTTTACCTGTTAGCTTTTCTCACATGACAAAGTCACAGTATTCACTACTAGCCCCTCCAAGTTCAGACTTGGGAAAAGGAGGTACCATGCTACTGAGAATGGTTTATGCTGAAAAGCATCAAAGACTATTTCATTCCTGCTCTACCTTCATGGCCTTTTGAAGGTAGGATTTCACTGTACCAATCTACCTGCTGCTAAGAGAAAAATGTACGCTTTGGTAGTACGTTGTCTGTTTCAATCTATGCCTAGACTTTATGTTATTGCAATTATATTACATTCAACATTGAAAAGTTGCAGATACTTGCTTTCTTAAGTACTGGCTCATGGAGCTTAACTTTTAAGCTCCACCCCAGTATTTCCTTCATTATTCTTAAAAAAAGGCAGGAACTTCAGACTTACATCCCGCTAGGTGGAGAGAAAAAGGAAAAAACATAGAATCTCCTTAAAAGCTTAAGCATTTTCTACTCCGGCAGTAAACACTCATCTATGTGCACAAAGTATTAAGTAAGTCATTGTCAGCTTAGAATGCAAATACCCACCTCTTGGCAAGAGATAGTTAGAGAAGATTCAGCCAGTGTGAGAAACATGCACCTGCAAAGCTTATTTACCCAGACTAAAAAAGATGGGGAGGGAGACAGAGCAACTGGAAGAAACAAAAATAGGAAAAAAATTGCCTGTCTTCTTCCCTATTCTCTAAAAGTAAGCATTTTTGAAGTCTCTGAGCCTTTGCCCATATTGTCAGGCATAGAAAAACACCCGAGAACAGCTACTGTGAAAAAAGCTTTGAGGCTTACTAGGCTGCTGCAGTTTAAGCCTCATGTATCAATAAAGAAAAAGGAACAAGAAAAACTGAATGAAAAGAGATCATCCTAATAAAGAAAGTCCAGAAACTAGAGTTCAGTGTGACCTGTTTGCTTGTGACCAAACAAAGTTTGTACTGATATGATCTACTGCCACAACATATCCAATTAAAATATTTATTAAAATAGTATTAATTTTCTTACTCTCCCTAGGTAGTGACACATTTAGTTGAGGTCTTTTATGAAACTTAAGAGAAAACAAAAACCTGCAAAGTATACTTTAATACTTATTTACAGTAATTTCATAGACTCAAATAACATTATTTCTAGAAGTCAACTAAGAGTTATTCCCAAGCCAGTCTTGCTTTCCTTTCCCACCATGGTTCCTTTTCCTGCTGTAACCATCCATGCAGCCTGAAATCCTGCCATCCTTTATACAGGACTTTTTAGTACAATAAATTCATTATGTGGGTTTTCAGAGTTGCCACTACTTACAGTAAGACAGACTGTACATACACAGCCTACTAAAATGTTGAAGGTATTTAACTTTGCACAATGTGTAAATCTTAGCTGCAAAAAGCATAGCACAGAACAAGTTTACCAAATTTATTTTAATTCCCGTGAAAGAAGTAAAAGAAATTGTTAACTCTGCATAATTCCTGGTGGATCACTGAAGTCATTACCTACAGCTAAAAATCTAAATAAAATTACATGCCACAGAACATCAGTCTTCTCTGTAACCTGATCAGTTTCCTCCTATTGTAATTTATAGGTATCTGCTCTAAGGAGTAAGTGAGACCAAGAATTATAAAAGTTTCACCTATTATCATTCTGTAGATCGAAAGATAAGTAACATGCTTAACAAACACCAGGAGACAGCTGGGTCATGGAACACCCTGTACATTGCAATGTGTGTGGAACAGAGGCAAGAAGTTTCTCTGGTATTCTATGGACTTCTGAAATGTAGTAACCTGGAACCTAGAGCCTAACAAAACCCAGATGGCAGCAAAATTTTACTTTCTAACTACACCAGACTGAGGAACAAACATTTCAAATTACTCATGCAAACTAGAAAAAAACCCCCAGTCATCAAACCTTTCAAACCCAAACATGTCTTAAGAGCCCTAAGCTAAATCTGAAGTAGGATGTAAAACTTCTCAAAATTTGCACAGGTGATTTTAAAGCTTTAGATGAGTAGTTATTTCCGAAATATCTCCCTTCAACCTGCATTTCCAAACTTTAAACACAAAACCCCACTACAATCCAGAATGACACACACTTCACCAACAGCAGAACCCAAGTAGTATGGCGTTGCAGCTGCCAAAGAGAAAGTTTGGTTGTGTGAAAAAATTAAAGGCAAAAAAGGCAATCTAACACATTTAAAATTATAATTAAAGAAATGGACAAGACAAACCTTGTAACCTTGAATCAAATTCCAGGAACTCTTCTTTACCCACAAAGTTACACACACACAAAAACTCCAACCAAACTAAAAAAAACTTAGTTGTTAAAAAATTTGTTGAAAGATGAGATTAGCTACAAAAAATACATGGGCCTAGCATATAGGCATCTTTTTCATTACGGAAATCACTTTTCAGGAAAAGTAATAGCAAGTAATGCCAATGATAGGGGATGCTTACTCTTTAACTCAATTGAACAATGTATCTTGTCTTAGCAAGATACCTACTTGCTAATGCTAAATACAAAGTACCAGATTAAAGTAATTTCAATAGACTTAATAAGATGAAAAAAAGCAAGATCCTTCGACAAAATGCGAGAGATGGACAACTTCCACACACTACTTCAATCTGGCATTTTATTTAAAAAACCATTTAATTAGAATTAAAGGCACACCAATACAGATTGCTTGGGTTTCTTTTAGCAACTCAAACAACAAATGAAGCACTGAATCTGATGATGCCTTAAATCTACAATAACCCAACCAGTCATGCTAAAAAGCAACTCAGTAATTTTCAAGAACACCAAACTATCTAAACTCCAGAATACTTTCTATTAAATTCAGCAGTGGAAAATATACAGTCTCCCAAAGCAAATACTGTATCACCTCAAAACACTGCTCAAAGATCAGTATTTTGCAGGTTGATAGGTATGAAGCCAACTGCACTTCCTCATCTCTCTCCAGATCTCATAAAGATAACACCACCCACAACCAAAAACCTCATGAGCAAAAGCCAAAAAAATAAAAACAACCCCAGTACATGATTACCTGTCTTTTCTCAAATTTTGCCTATTTCACTTTCTTTGAGAATATAGTATTGAGAATTTTGAGGATATACAGGACTATGATTAAACTCATTACAGAAAAAAAAAGAAAAACCAATCAGCCACACCACTGCAGGTAAGTTTTTTCTTCTGAAAAAGTGTACATTTTACGGTTATGGTCTACCATTCATTTGAACAGCTTAAGTAAACGTTAGAGAAGCATGTCTTGAATAAAAGAGATCAATTTAGGAAGATGCGGTAATATACTACATTCAGAGAAGATAACTTTTTGTCACAGCATTTTAAAATGAAAAAATACATCCCTGAAATATAAAGGACTTACGTCTCATGGGTGCCAAAAAAGAAAATAGGCATTTTATTCATAGGAGGTTTTACTGCTCCATCAGGAACTTCATCCACCTAAGAAAAACACAGCCTATTATAATTCAAATCAAGTAACAGTCAAGAATAGTTTAGGAAGAAATATGTAAAAATTAAGCATTAAAATAGGAATAAAAAAACTACAGAGAAGTAAAGCAGGAACTCTTTCTAACAGTATGCCAAGAAAATATAGCAGAATCAAAACCAGTATTAACAACATCAGAAAGTTACATTACTTTCAGTTTACAGAGATACTTTCCACATGACTACTTTTAAAATGAGAGATGACATGTTACAAGCAAAAGCCACAATTTAATTTCATCCCCATACTGCCCATCCTTAAGGAAAAGCAATAGAAAGACTTCCTACCCTTGCGCTGACCTAGTAAGCTGTGGAAGCCCAAATGTGAAGTAATACCAAAAGGGTAATAAGCTTTAAAAGCACCCCAATTCCTAAGTCAGCATCTTAGCTAGATACCTTATTATCTTCATTCCCACATGCAACAAATGACCTATAGCAGTCCCGGAACTTCGCATGCCTTTTCCATGGGAGTACAGAGAACACCAAAAACGACTGCATAACTTACCACATACACTTAACCTATTTAATAGAAAGCACAGTAAACAAACCCACTTAGGAGTAATCTTGCCTTATATAAATTCGTGGGGTTTTTTGCCAAGAGCAGTTATTTGGGGACATAATTTCTGTACAGCTCCAGGGGCTTGCACAAGCTCCAGTGTCACGCCATCCTGCAGCAGTCTTCATTCCGTAAAGCCGCGTTACACAAATTAGGACAACTAATGACTGTTTGAGAGGGCTACTTGTTACGGATCTGCAATGTGACTGCAAAGCCGGTTCTATCCCCGGGAACACAGCCGCGTCCTCCCTCACAGGAGGCGAAGCTGAGGGCGCTGCTCAGCACAGGTGTGTGAGCGCACCCCACAGAGAACGAGGCAAGGGGAGGAGGGGGAGCCTTACCCTGGCCGGCCAATGGGGGTAACCTTTCATCTTGGCGAAGATCAAGTCTCCGGGTTTGAAATCTCGGCTCATGTTTTCTCACCGACGTGACGCCCTATTGCCGCCAAGCGAGCCGGACTGACAGAAGGTAAGGCTCTGAGCCTCCGGCAACCACCGAGGCACTGCCAGCCACACGAGGTGCCACTCGCTGCCGGGATAAACACACGGGGCGGGGGAGCGAAGAGAAGGGCAACACAAGAAAGCACGTCAGCAAAGGCGGGCGGCCCCTGGCTGGGGCGCGCTGCGCCATGCCCGCCCTTCACTCATGCAAAGAGACCACCTGGGCGCTCCGCTACCCCGGTGCCCGCCCGCGGGCAGGGCCAGGCCTCCCCCGGCCAGGGTGGCCACCCGCCACCTTGTCCCGACCTCCCCCGTCGCCGACCAGCCCCCGGCCCCTCATGCTGGCACGATGGCGCGAGACCGCCGCTGGGGAGCAGGAAGGGAGAGGGAGGGGGCGCGCGGAAAAGAAACTCCGCCCGCCCACCCGCCCTCCTCTCCTCCATCCCTCCATCCATCCCTCCATCCCTTTTTTCCCCCTCTCTCTCTCTTCTCCTTTTTTCTCTCTGTCTCTCTCTCTCTCTCCTCACCCCAGCTAGCTAGCTAGCTAGCTCGCCCGCCAGCCCGCTCGCCCGCTCGCCGCTTCACCAGCGGCGGTGCAGCTCCTCGCTACCAACCTCAACCGCGCTGGCGCCCGGCCCACCGCCCGCCGCGGGAAACACGGCCGCGCCGCCTCCTCCCGCCAGCGGGCCGATACCACCCGGCACGCCGCACCGGGGTGGCGGGGGAGCTCCGGAGAGCCGGCGGGAACTCGGCGAGCGCCCTGCCGTAAGACAGACGGCTCGGCTCCCGCCTCTACGCCTGGGAGAACGCGGGTAGTCACGAGAGGAAAGAGCCCGCCGGGCCCGGGGCAGGGCCGGAGAATGGAAAAGCCTCGTTCGCTCCCTCTCCCTGCAGCTGGAAAAGTGGTTCGTTCCTCCTCCGGTGGGGGCGGAGCGGCCGCGGCGCCGCTGGAGGGAGCGGAGGTGGACGAGGAGGAAGAAAAGAGGAGGAGAAGGAGGAGCCGGAGCTGCCGCCGCAGCAGCTGGCTGTGGGACCGCCCCCGGCCGCAGCGGCAGCCGAGCTGGGGCGAGCACACACACGGGCGAGTTGGCGCTGCTCAGCCGCTGACAGGCTGGCTTGGTTAATGAGCGCCATCCTCCTTCGCAAACCGGGCGAGTGCGACTGGCCCCGCGGGGCCCTTTGTGTCCCACTCCCCCTTGCCAGGCTTCTCATCTCTTTTTGCTGCCTGCCCCAAAGCTGCCCGTGTTGCCCAAGTACTCCCCAGGAGCTTGCTTGATGACTTGACTCCCCCCAGCAGACAACAACCCGTGGTTGTTTATTTTAAGTCTGTAACAGAGTCCTTATCTGCTACTTAGTCACCATTAACTCCTGGGTTTGGTGGAGGTTTTCTTTGGTTTAGTTGACTGGTTAGGTTTTCCATCTAGGATTGCTACTAATTGAGACTATGTTAGTCCCCTTGTCCTCTCCTAGCTTGTTTACCAATCCACATCAAGCTTCCTTCTCACCAAGCATTTCAAGCCGCTGTGCCCTCCTCTCCTGTTTCTGTCAGCTGATGTCCTGAGTGCATCAGCCCCTGCTAGCCTCACCACAAATACCTTTCTTCGAACGGTTTTTTCTTCTCTTTCTTTGAAGATCTCAAAATCAGATATAAACCCACTACCTTCTTTCTTATGGCCTGCCCGTCCTGTTGTATTTAATTCTAGTTCTACATCAAAAATTAGCTTGCTTGTCAGCTCTTTGTGGCTTTAGTCCTATGTGATGGCCCCATACAGCACCACCCGCAAGTCATAGTATGTCTGAAAAAAGTATGAAAATATTACGGAGCTTTTTTTCTTTTTATCAAAACTTCAATTCGTACGTTGAAGGATATACCACTGACATAGTTACTGCAATTGTCCACTTTTCTAGGATATGGTGGGGTGGATTTTATTCACTCTGCTGCTGTTGTTTGACATCATATATGTTTACATCTCCGTCTTGAAATCTCTCAGTTGAAATGTTTCCAAGAACCTTTCCCTTTGCCAGTGAGGTGACCAGAAGGGGAATGATAACCTTGTTACCAGTCTCCCTCATCCACCCTGCTGTCATTTTTGTCCCGCGGTCTCTCAAAATCATTTACCTGTTTGTTTCTCTTGATAATCTGAGTGAAGAACGTGCTGCCTCGAATCTGAGGACATGCACACCTCAATCAGGCTCTCACGTCAGTCGGTAATCTTACATTTTTTGGAATTGCGGATGCCTAGGACGCGTGTGGGGCCGGCGGGCGCGCGGGCGGTGAGCGCGGGGCTGCGCGCGCCGCCGGACCGCCCGCTGGTGACGTTCCGCCGCGGCCGGAAGTTGCCGTTGGGAAGGGGCCGCGCGCCGGCCGCGTCCCTGCTGGCGGGACCTGGAAACGGCGCGGCGCTTCCCGGCGCTTCCCGGCGGCCCGGAGCGGCCTCAGGGTGCTGCTGCTGGAGCTCTGTTCTGACCTTGTTCCCTCAGCCCTTCCTACCAGGTAAAGCGCCAAAGCCGCCGCCGCGGCGTGCGCTCAGCCAGCGCCGCTCCGGGACCAGCGGAGCGAAGGGATGCTGCTAATTTGGTTAATGGCTTGCTTAAAATTTTTCATCCTGCGTTAGTGAAAAGCTAGTGGCTCGTCCAGTCGAAACTGGTGAGCTTTTCTACCTTGCAGAACAGATGTGGTAGTTCCGCCTGGCTTTGTGTGTTTTAAATTAGCACATCTTGGTTGGATTTCATTTGCTGGAGGGATCTTAGAGATCCACCAGTTCCATTCCTTTGCCGTGGGCAAGGACACCTCCCACTAAACCAGGTTGGTCAGAGCCCCATCGAGCCTGGCCTTGAACACTTCCAGGGATGAGGCATCCGCAGCGTCTCTGGACAACCTGTTCCAGTGCCTCACCACCCTCACAATAAATTTCTTCCCCACATCTTGTCTAAATCAATGGCATTCTTAAAGTTAGTTAAGCATATTCAGAAGTTTTTGAGGAGAATATGACACAAGGTTTGTAGGTAACGTCCATCGAATATAATACCTCCTCAAGCAAAACCTTCTTAACTATCTTGTTTGACTGTGGGGCTCTTACGAACCCTCCATGCCCCTTGAATTTTTTTTCTTAATTGAAATAGCATTCTTTTGGAATGTATCCATTTGTGTGCTAGTTAACATCTTAGTAGAGAAATGTTGTATATTCAAAATCATTGGCATGCCCAGAAAACAGTCATTAGATATTCCATGTTTCCCTCTTCCCCCTCAAAGTAATGAAAAGACTTAAAAGTAATTCCAAAAGGTTCTAAAACTTCAAGATGGTGTGGATGTGTCAGAGGGGTTTTTGCTTATGTTTAGAGACAGTTTTGTTTTTTTTTCCCCTGCAACTATTTAGTTGCACCATTTTTTTTTTCTTTTTCTACTGTTCAGATTTTGGTATAAAACCAAATATATTTTTTTGGCAATAAATAATAGGAAAATGGTGGTATGAAAAACTAGTTTCTTAGTGTTCAGAGCTATGTCTTAATGTGAAAATTTGGCTCAATTGATAGACGTATAGTTTCCTGTACCAGGATACCTCGTTTTCTTTTTTATAGAGGTGATTAATCTTTGTGGAATACAGTTTCTACAAGTACTTTGTCAAGATTTTCTTCCCTCATGTAAAGTTTTCAGTGTGCAAGTCACCAATAATTTAATGGAACTTAATGTGTGCCTAGAAATTATACTACAGACTAGACTTCGAAAATGAGATTTTCAACTGTTTTCTCATTTGAGATAGAAAGAAAGCTATGTTGTTTTCTCTTGGAGTGTGAGTGACTATTGCGTGGCAGTTATTGTGTTTTGAGTCTTATGACCACATGCAGCAAGGTGAATTCTAATGTGTAGATGTAAAAAATCACAAGGGATACATCTAGCTATTCTATATGAATATGCTGTTCTTCGGTAAAAACAAAACAACCGAACAAAAAGCCCGAAAACAAAGACTCAGAGTTTTTAGAAATACGTTTATTTTTGCTGCATTTTCTGTTCAAATTATGGATTGAAGCAGACATGATTTTTTTTCTTCTCCTTATTTCTAGTGGAGCAACTGGAATGAATAAAATCAGTTTATATTAATATATTACACCAACTGCTGCCATTGGACACCATAATATAAAAAATAAATTCAATTATTAGAGAGCATTGAAAGGAGGGCCACAAGGTTGGTGAAAGCCTTATGAGGAGTGGCTGAGGTCACTTGGTCTGTTCAGCCTGCAGGGGACTGAGGGGAGACCTTTTGCAGTTACAACTTGCTCAAATGGGGAAGTGAAGGGGCAGACACTGATCCACAGGACCTGAGGGAATGGCCTGAAGCTGGGTCAGGGGAGGTTTAGGTTGGATATTCAGAAAAGTTTCTTCCCCCAGAGGATGAGTGGGCATTAGGACAGCTCCTCAGGGCAGTAGTCACAGCACCAGCCTGAGAGAGTTCAAGAAGCATTTGGACAGTGCTCTCAGGGACATGGTGTGACTCTTGGGGTGTCCTGTGCAGGGCCAGGAGTGTGACTTGATGATTCTAATGGATGCTTTCCAACTCAGCTTATTCTATGATTCTGTGAACATGTGACTGCAAGCCAGGGATGGTAAAGATGGAGTCCAGGCAAGTTTCCTGTTTTCCTGACTTTAATATGGATGTCCATCTGCTATCATGTTCAAAAACAAACCTTTATGGCTCATTAATATTGACTGTTGAATACAGCTTATGCTTCATGTTACCTTGCTTTAATTAATGAAAAGAGGTAATTTATGAGTTTGCTGTGCAACTTGATGTAAATAATGGATTTTTTTAAGGTCTGCATTATAAATGCGTTGTCTATATTGATTTCTTTTTTATTTTAACACAAAATTAATGTTTTTTTCTAAAGGTGAGTGGAGTTACAGTTCAAAATAGTATTTCTCTTGTATAGTCCTAACTATTGCTGATTTATCAAATACAATAAAAATATCTTCAAATAGAAAATTCCAGGTTTGTAAAACACTTGGAAGACTCGCTGTGGTAAAGGTTGTTATCAGACAGCAAATGTAGTACATGCAATCGTGGTATACGTATTTATCTTCAATATAATTAT